TGTGCGCGGCGCTGAGGCGAGAGGCACATTTTGACAACGACCCGCCCTCAATCCGTGAAGCTCTCACACATGTGTCAAACGAATCTGCGGGGCGCTAAGAGGCGAGATCCACATTTTGAAAACCACCCGCCCTCAATATGTGAGGCTGTTGTCAATTTCTGAGCTCCAGGTTCATGTATGGTGAGGACGTCTCAGGCGAAAAGCTCGGCCCGCCCTTTCGACAGGCCTCGGGGTGCAACAGGGAGGAGTTATCTATAAAGAAAAGGAATGGGAGAGGATGAAGGTGAGGATGAGGAGGAGAAGCAGGATGAGGAGGAGGAGGAGGAGGAGGAGGAGTTTGAGGGAGGAAGAAGAGGCGGAGAAGGAGGAGGAGTACTCCCCCTGAGCCGTTCCTCCCCTCCCGTTGCCCCTCCTCTGTCCCCGCACCCGCCCGGCCTTCTGGGATATTCCAGCCGTGTCCCCGCTGCTTTTCGAGGCGCCCTTCTGAGCGCCTCCGCGCGCGCCACGGCGTGCTGGCCAGATTTTTTATTGCAGCTCTTCAGAGTATCTCGGAGAAGAAACACGAGCAAAGAATGCTGAAGCTGCCATAGCCGGACATGCACGAGCCGAGGAGAAATCACGACGGGTTGTTTTTGGCCGTCTCCAGCTTCTGGGGGCCCTCGCCAGGCCCTGGGACCGTCAAGAAACGACTCAGGATGAAAAGGAGGGCCTGGGGAACGGTTCGGGACATTTGGTTGAAAGAATCAGGACATCGCATGTCTGGGTGCGGCTCTCTGAAGCTGCCGCCGCCTGCGCAGATACAGCCACGGGTACAGAGTTTTTGCTGAGCGTTTCGTCTTTGAGTCGGTTTGAAGTCTGTTCCATCGAGTTCTCGTGTCGTGCCCGGGCGGCCCTGGGTAAGCCTCGGGCAGAGGACATCACGAGGAGAATGGTGAAGGAAGGTTGGGAATTGAGGATGAAGAGTCGGAGGATGGGAGATTGAGGGAGGAGGAGGAGGAGGAGGAGGCGGAGGAGGAGGAGGAGGAGGAGGAGGGGGAGGGAGGGGTGATCATGAAATGAGCACCATCGCCTGGAAGGAATTCCGCAGCGAGCAAATCGCTGTCGCCCTGACCGCAGTGAAGCCAAACGGGCCTTTGCCCACGTCCCTCCCTCCCTCCCTCCCTCCCTCCCTCCCACCTCCTCCTCTCTCCTCTTTCCTCCTATCCCTGTCGCTGCCCACCGCGCCAGTCAACAATTTCGGCACTCCCCTCACACGCATTGTGACCCCATAGGGAGCCTCACCGCAGGTCCCAGTGTCAGCGCCCGCATGCGGTTCCACCGTCCATTTCGGCAGCCCCCTCATCCGCCTAAGACTCCAGTGGCAGCGCTTGCAATTCGGTGCGCGTATGACCCGCATCATGGCACCATAGGGAGCCCCACCGAAGGCCCCAGTGGCAGCGCCTACATGCGGCTGCACCCTCCACTTCGGCACACCCCTCACACGTTTCGTAGCCCCATGTGAGGCTCCACCAAAACCCCCAGACGCAGCGCCCGCATGCAGTTCCACCCCATGTCGGTGCACCCCTCACACGTTTCGTAGGGCCCCATCGGGAGCTCGACTCCACCGCAGGCCCCAGTGGCAGCGCCCGCACGGGGTTCCACCGTCCATTTGCGCCCCTCGCACTTCTCGTGATTCCATGGAGCTCCACCGAGGCCCCCAGGAACAGCGCCCGCATGCAGTTCCACCCCATTTCGGCACAACCCTCACACGGTTCGTGGCTCCATAGGGAGTTCCACCGAAGGCCCCAGATGCAGCGCCCACATGCGGTTCTACCCTCCACGTCGGTGCACCCTCGCACGGTTCGTGGCCACGTAGAGAGCCTCACCGAAGGCCCCAATGGTAGCGCCCGTATGCGGATCCGCCTGGCATGCACCCCTCACACAGTTCGTGGCCCCATATGGAGCTCCAGCGAAGGACCCAGTGGCAGCGCCGGCATGCAGTTCCCTCGTTCATGTTAGTGCACCCCTCACACGTTTCGTTGCCCCAGATGGAGCTAGACCGAATGCCCCAGTGGCAGCACCCGCATGCGGTTCCACCCCCATGCCGGTACACCCTTCACAAGCTTCATGAGCCCATAGGGAGCTCCACCGAAGGCCCCAGTGGCAGCGCCCTCATCGGGTTACACCTTCCATGCCGGCGACCCCTCACACGTTCCGTGGCCCCATAGGGCTATGCCATAGGGAGCTCCACCTAAGGCTCCAGTTGCAACGCCCGCCCGCATGCGGTTCCACCCGCCATCCCAGTACACATCTCACACGTCTCGTGTCCCCATAGGGAGCTCGACCGAAGGCTCCAGTGGCCCCTGTTGCTGACCCCCCTCCTCCATTTCATTTTCCTTGCGATGCTCGAAGGCACCAATGGTAGCGCCTGCATTGGGGGAAACGCCGCATTTCGGCACACTCTTCACGAGCTTGGTGGCCCCACATCCACCGAAGTCGGTACTCACAACGACGGTACCCCCTTCGTCAGGCTAATTTTTCCGATGGCGGGTCCCCAGATGACCTTGTCCCCTTGGCCAGCTTTTCATCCCGAGGCGTTGTTTGACAGCCCCTGGGCCCAGCGAGGGCCCATGCAGGCAGAAATTGCCAACAACTTACCGTTGTGTCTTTTTCCCCGACCCTGCGGAGGCCCTTTAGTTTTCCCAGGGGGGTCTGGGGGGAAGGCCGGCGGAAGATGGCCGCACGACAGCCGCAAGACTGGCAGACGGCCGTCGACGGCGCACGACGGCGGAAGACGACAACAATTTGCTGTTGCGGCTTCGGGCGAGCTTCGAAGAGGCCCAGGAGAGCCCAAAGCGTCCCAAGACGTCCTCCAGACGTCCCAAGAGGCTCCTCAGTCGGCCCAAGCGGGCTCCAAGAGGACTTCCAGGAGGCCCAAATCATGTATTTCCTTTAGATGTCTGCTTCAGCGATTTTAGCATTCGCGCCTCTTCGGGTGTCCGACGCTCCACGACGGGCCCATAGGCCCTCAAGATCGCCCGACGACGGCCCAAGAGGCCCGCAAGACGGCTCAATATCGCCCCAAGACAGCCCAAGAGGCCCCCAAGACGGCCCCAGAGACCACCCAACCGGCCCTGAAGCATGCCAAGTGGGACCCACGACTGCCCAGGAAGGGCATCTGGGTCACTTGGGGGCCTTCGAGGATCGACGAAGAGTGTGCCCCAGGATTTCTTCTAGCAAGATATCTTATAGCGTGCGCTTACTGTATGCCACGCGCTTCGCTGCGCTGTTGCCAACAACGTGGCGCACATCCGGGTTGATGTAATTGCCCGCGTCCCTGGCGCGCGCCCTCCTCTCGCGGTGGGGGACAAGCGAGTGCACTCCATGTGCGCCTCTGGTCCTGTTTCGGGTGCCGCCTGGCTTGGCTATCCGCCAGCTCCTGGAAGAAGGGGCATGACAGATGAGGAAGGAAAGTGAATGACGATGGTGATGATAGATGTGGTGGTGGTGGTGGTGGTGGTGGTGGTGGTGATTGTGGTGGTGTGGTGCTTGTGATGATGAAGATGCTGATGCTGTTGATGATGATGATGATGATGATGATGATGATGATGATGGTGGCGATGCTGCTGCTGATGATGATGGTGATGACGATGCTGGTGATGATGATGATTACGCGAATGACGATGATGACGGTACTGGTGCTGGTGATGGTGACGGAGATGATGATATTGATGATGACGGTGTTGTTGATATGGTGATAGTGATGTTGATGTGTATGGTGATGCTTATGATGCTGTTGCTGTTGATGACGACGATGGAGCTGATGCGCTGATTATAGTGATGATGGTGCTGATGATGGTGACGAGGAATATGAAGACGATGCTGATGATGATGATGGTGTTGATGCTGATGATGACGATGATGAAACTGATGATGATGACGATGATGATGCTGGGAATGGTGATGATGAGGATGGTGATGATGATGATGCTGATGATGATGATGATGATGATGATGGTGATGATGATGATGGTGTTGGTGATGATCTGCTGATGGTGATGGTGATGTGTATGATGCTGGTGCTGATGATGCAGCTGATGATGACAACGATGAAACTGATGCCAATGGCGACAATGGTGATGATCAATATGATGATGGTAATGGTGACGATAATGAAGACGATGCTGATGATGATGATGATGGTGGTGATGGCGGTGATGATTATGCTGATGATGTCGATGGTTAGGCTGATGCTGACGCTGATGCTGGTGATGATGATGAGGTTGATGCTGATGATGCGGCTGCTGATGGTGATGTTGATGGAGATGTTGCTGATCAAGACGATGATGCTGGTAAGGGTGATGTTGCTGCTACTGATGATGGTGGTGGTGATGAAGATGCTGATGATGAGGATTGTGCTGATGACCGCCATCATTATGATGATGATGATGATGATGATGAGGAGGATGGTGGGGGTGATGATGCTGATGATGATGATGATGCTGCTGATGATGATGCTGCTGATGATGATGACGAGGAGGAGGAGGAGGAGGAGGAGAAGGAGGACGAAGAGGACGAGGACGACGACTTTGATGATGATGATGATGCGGAGGAGGAGGAGGAGGAGGAAGGGGGAGGAAGAGGAGGAAGGGGGAGGAAGAGGAGGAGGAGGAGGACCAGGAGTGGGAGGAGGACGACGAGGAAGGGGAGGAGGAAGAGGAGGCAGCGGAGGCCAGAGGATAGAAGCTAAGAGGGAGGTGGGGGAGGATGAGAAGGAAGAAGGAGGAGGAGGAGGAGGAGGAGGAGATTAGGGACACGAGGATCGAGGAGAAAGAGAGATGCGGATGAGCAGGGAGATAGTACCCAGACGTGCGATGGCCTTGTTTGTTTTCCAATCTGGGGATGGGATGGAGGCGGGAAGGGACCGAGAGGGGTGCGAGACTGCGGCGGCGCGCCCGGGCATCCCGCTCTCCCCGCCCCCCCTCCGCCCTGAGCCATGGCGCCCCGCCTCGGCCCCGCAGGCGGGCGCGAAGCTCGAGAAGTGGATGCTGGACGCCCTCGACGAGGCCCCCCCGCAGGGGAGGCCGCGGGCGGACGAAGGAAAGCTTCAGATAAACGGGTCCGCCGTCGGGGTCGCCTGTCCATGTGCGGCTGGGAAGTTCATACCCGGTGACACGTCAGGGTTTTGATGTTCCAGCCGCCCTGGGGCAGGCGTCCCCGGCGGCGGACAAGTTTTTATGCTGTGCCCTTCTTCGTTCGCCGACGATCGGAGGTAGGGGGCTGAGATCTAACTGGAACGGAGAGCCCCCCACAGGGGAAATATGTTTCGGGTTCGGGTTCGTGTCGTGCGTCGTGCCTGCGAGCGAGGCGAAGCTGCGTTGGCGGGCGAGAGGACTGGGTGGTCCGCTGTGGCTAGGGCGGGTCGTGTGGTTAGGGCGGGTCAAGACAACAAGACCTCCCCTCCCCTGAGCCGGCGTAGCCGGGGGTGTCCCGCAGTGGTGTCCCGCCGGGGTGTCTCGTCGGTGTCCCGTCGATGTCCGCGGGCGGTGGCCCGGGCGGCCGTGGTGTCCCGCCGTGGTGTCCCGCCGTGGTGTCCCGCCGCGGTGTCCCACCGTTGTGTCCCGTTGGTGTCCCGTCGGTGTGTCGCACTTAGCGTCATTTCTCTTCAGTGGGTTTCCCCCCCATAGTTCTCAGGTTTGATCCCTGGCGTGTTGACTTCGATTTCGGCCCTCAGGGAGCCGTGTGGAAAACTTGCCCCGGAGAAAGGGTCGGGATCTCTGGGGCCGCGCATTGAAGAATCACGTCGTTGGATGTCTGTTGAGGGGCGCGGGACCCGGCAGGCAGGCTGCGGCAGTTTGGGCCCAGCGCGGGGTGCCAGGGCCGATTTGGGCCGGAGGGGAGGGCCAGCAAGGAAGGCGGATGGGGCAAGTGGCGGAGAAGGAGGTGGTGGAAGGGGATGCGGGTGAGCTGGCGGAGGCGGAGGGAGAAGGGTGGGGGACGGACGGGAAGCGGGAGGGAAGCGGGAGAAGAGGGAGAGGGGGGAGAGGCGAGCTAGATGCGATCGAGCTACATCTGACATCCTATCCCTCCCTCCCCTTGCGCCGATGTTTTCTCTATCGGCGGACGCGTACCATAGCTTGACTTTCTGGGACTTGTGACTTGTGAAATCTGTGGGGCTTCTGTGGCCTGTGGGACCTGTGGGGCAGGTGGGAGCTGTGGACTTGCGGGATCTGCAAAACCTGCGGGACTTGTCGGACCTGTGCGACCTGTGGGACCTATGTGGCCTGTGGGGCATGTGAGAACTGCGACACCTGTGGGACCTGTGGGAATTGTGGGACATGCGAGATCTGAGAGACCTGGGGCCTGTGGCACCCGCGGGACGTGTGGGACCTGTGGGACCTGGTGGACCTTTGTGGGACTTGTGAGACCTGCGACAGCTTTTTGGATGTGGGACCTCTGGGACCTGTCTTATCTGTGTGTCCTGTGAGACCTGCGACACCTGGAATTCAGAAACGTAACCCACGCTGGGGCGAGGGTGCCATTCTGAACGACGGGAGCAAAGCACCGATCCGAAAATGAAGCCCATGCTGCAGCGAGAGCACCGTTTTGGAAACCGTTTTGGAACAGTGAAAGTCGTGTGCAGAATGGAAGGGTACGCGCGGAGGGCCGAGCCTCGTCTTGATAGACCTGGGGGTGAGAGGAGAGTCGTTCTCGCATTGGGCAGTTCTGGGGGGAACGGCGTGAGGGGCTTGCGGGGGGCACGTGAGCAGTCCACCTGGCGGCGCTCCCCAGGAGGCTTCCCGCCGCACGCGGCAGGGCCTCGGCGCCAGCGCCCCGGGCCTCCCCAGACCTGCGTCGGGATGGCCCGCGCGTGGCCCCGGCGCCCGTGGGCTCTCGAGCTCCCGATGCGATGTCCAGATTGTGGTCAGCACTCCTGCTTTCGCATTCCATGTCGTCTGGTCTGTTCCATGGAGCAATTGTCTACAACAGCACCGCCAAGTTAAAAAACGACGCGAGCAGTAGGTTATCGCTGCCGAGCGAGCATGATGCCAGCACCTTGCCAAGTCTCCATCGCGCACACGGTCACCCAATGGTTCACCAAAGGTGCCGTCGCCAAAATTAAAGATCACCGATTTCAGTGTTTCCCATCCCTTGGAGGTGGCCTATATTATGTTGGCACCGTCGCCAAATACTTCCCACCCAATTGCCAAATGCATCGTCGCCAGAAGTTAGTTTCCTGCAACACAGAACTTAACTGAACGGGGTCCCCAGAATCCCGAGCCTTTTTTTGACGGTCCTGGGGCCCAGCGTGGGCCCGCGAAGGCGGACAACGGCCGAACCATCTCCCGTGGCGCAGGCCGGGCCGGCCTGGCCCCGGTCGTCGCCCGCAGGCGGTTCCGCCTGCTCGCGGTGTCGACGCGCGCACGCGCGCGCTCGAGGGGCGGGGGTCGCGCCGACGCAGGGCAGGCCGGCTTCGCCCACGCGGCAGGAATCTGTGCTTCCCAGGTGGGGTCGGAGCAGATGGTCGGAGGATCGCGCCGCGTCGCCGATGTGTCGGCGATGCTGCTAGATCTGGAGCCCGAGTTTCTCCACACGGCGCCGATGCATCGCCGACGTCGCTCATGTATCGCCAATGCGTCGGCGATGCATCGCCGATGCATCGGCGATGCGGCGCGATCCTCCGACTCCTACTCCGACCTCATCCAGAGGAGGCCTCTAAGGCAGGACCTCGCCCTTGAGATATCGAAGGCGGAAGGCGGCATGCCGGTGGAAGTATGACGAGGCTATCCCTCCGCTGGCGGAAGCCGGCGGAAGTAAAAATTGCGCCCCCCAAGAGATGGTATTGTTGGGGGGGGCCAGGGCTTCTCGACCCCCCCCCCTTATGAGCCCCTCCTGCGGGAAGCACTGGGAGTCGGGGATGCTCAGGGTCGCCAGAGGTTCACTTCGGCGCTGGGGCAGCGGGATGGGGATATCCGCGAGGGGGTGCTATTTGTGAGGTCGCCCCCGCCGGGCGAGGCGCACCCAAGGGCACCTCTTGCGAAGGGCATCCGTGCGTAGAGCCGATAAGATAGGAGTGGCCCTGGTGCAGGCTTCAGGGGCAACGTTAAAGGGGGATGCATCGACCCCCAGTCGCCCATTGATCGCCGATACGGGCCTGACAGCCCGCCCCGCCTTGGAGCGTACGGACTTGCTGTCGGGGGCATGCAGCCGATCTATCGGCGACGTCTCGCCGATGCAAGCTCGATGCTTCCCTCCCTGAGCTGGGCCCCCCCCTTCCGACACTGCCCCTCGAGGCTACGGGCAGGTGGGGGGTTGGGGAGATGGGCCTTGCTGCGGGGGACTCCTCGTGCCCACGGCCAGGCTCGGCTCGGAAAACTTGTCAGGACGTCGTCCAGGTGGGGCCCGTGTCAGGGTGGCGTCAGGATGGCTCCTTTCAGGCATCCAGATTTCTGGGGACTCGAACCAATCGCGATGAAGGTCGTGTAGTTTTCGGCGTCTGGTGGATGTCATCAGGCCTCGGGACCGTGAAAGAACGACCTCAGGATGAAAACTTGCTCCCCTGGATGGGGGAAAAGAGGTACAGGAGCCAGCGACTCGAGCAAACATCAACTCGTCGGAGGTTTCGGCATTGCTCTATCAACTCCCATCAATGCAGGGTTGTCCGCTGTGACTCGATCGGCAGTTTCGTGTCTTGCACGTGCTCGATACTGGTTTTGCGCTGCGCTCTGCGCCTGACCCTGTGGCGCAGACGGTACAGAAGGGAATGACAAGAGCCGCGGAGGGACAGGATGTGTAGTCTGTGCCGAAGGCGAGCCTGTAATGCCAGATTGGGGTCATCGCGGGCGCCGGCGATGGGAACTTGCATTCCCCAGCATCAAACGGTTGCTGTTCGTATCGAGATTGTGGGGATCGTCTACGTCCGAGGCGAAAGTATCCCCTCTCTCAGGCTGACTACCGACGTGCCCACTCACAGCACTGCCTAGAGCGTGGCATTGCACGCCATAACACAGCTTAGCATACAGTCTGCGAGTGGGGACGGCGCCCAGATTCGCGAGGAATCCGCCCGACGGGCAACGTTGGACAGCGTTGCCTATCACAGGGCAAGCAATAACCATCGTGGCAAGCCTGTGCAAGCGGAGAAAGAAGGCTCCTGCCTCACGACTCACTGAAGAGCATGTATGGATTTGTGCGTACGGTAGGTTCGCGTTGTGCCGATGCGGTAGCGACCCCGCCGCGGGCGTTCAAGGTTGGAAGCCCGCCAGTGGCCCAGAATCAGTCAGTCAGTGGCCGTGCCTCCTGTGGACGCGTAGGCAAGAGAACAGTTAAAAAGTTCGGGTGGTGCGCCAAACGCGTCCCAGAAGCAGTCAGAGCAGGGCAGTGTGCCGAACGCGCTGTGATGATGACGACGTGATGGGATCAAACATGTACAATGTCACAAGTAGAGTTACACACTCGCAAATACTTCTTCTGCCCATTATTGTCTTGGTCGGCCTCTGCGCCGGTGGCAAACCCATTTTTTCGGCGATCCGTCCACAGCACAAACTAATGGCCGAGCTAATCATGGCCTGGCCGCGCTGCAATCTTCTCGTACACCTCGGTTTGTTTATCGCACAGAATTTCTGATCAAGGTTTTGATTCTGCCCGCTCCAAGACAGTAGCGTCAGTTATGTGAGAGAAATCTGCATGAGGTATGCCCATGATTTGTCGCAAGCATTTGCAATGGAAAGCGTCCAACTTATTTCTGTCCGCTTTGAGCAGCCACAAGGAGTCTAATGAATACAAAAGTTTGTGCTTCCCAATGGATGCATGAGACCACAATTCCTGTAGCTGCCTGAATATCTGCGTGCTTTCGCCGATCCGCCGGGACACCTCATGGCTTGCGCGCCCGTCGCAAGACAAATGCCCTCCCAAATGCACAGCTTCCCGGACATTGTTGTTCGGTTCCCCATTTGGTTGTTTAATTGTTCTTTTGCTGCAAATTTCGATCTGCACGGTCTTATCCCAATTTTATTCCTATCCATACCTGTGTCCCTCCAATACTGTTGCGTCCAACATCTGCTGTAAA